TACCTTGTGAACTACGAGTCAACCGAACGTTGGACTAACTCTTTGTCAGCCCAGCAAGGAACACCTCACCGAACCACGACAGACTTGATCGACAAAGGTGATGACCATGGTGGTCTTGCAGCAATGGACATCAACCAAGCATGGTACAAAGGTAGGAAAGGCTATGGCAAAGGTTATGTTCATAACAAAGGCAAAGGCAAAGGTAAAGGCAAGAAAGGTGGAAAGGATTTCGGCAAAGGTTTCGGATTCGACGGTAAAGGCAAAGGTAAAGGAAAAGGTTTTGGAGGTTTTGGCAAAGGCAGAGGTCGAGGCAACTGGAAAGGTCGAGGTAGAGGATTCAGAGGTTACAAAGGAAAAGGCAAAGGTCGAGGAAAAGGCTTCTACAGGCACAAAGGAAAAGGCAAGGGAAAAGCCCAAGCAGCTACAGGAGTTTGTCACTACTGTCACAAGTACGGACACTTTGAAGCGCAGTGTAGACAGAAGCAGCGTGACATGGGTTACCAAGCAAGGAACGTAGACCTAGAGAACCAGAGTGAACAGGCAAGCACCACAGGTACCTCTACTCAGGCCCCTTCTTCAAGCAACAAGACCTCAACAAGCCAAAGCCAAACAAGCCAAGGAACACAAAGACCAGTGATTAGGATGGTCTCCATGTATCACATGGGAGACGAGCCCACAAACTTTCCGGAGGAATTCGAGATGAGCGAAGATTCAGAGGAAATTGAGATTGAGTACTTCGGAAGAGTCTTGCGGGTTGTTGGTGAAGAAGTTCAGGAAGAGAGAAGCGAGGCAGAAGAGTACTGGATTGGTGATGAAGATGATGAGTTTCAGGACTGTGATGAGGTGAGTGATGATGCATGGTGGCAGTGGCATGTAGAAGGAAACCCAGTAGGAACTCAAGATCGTGGATACTAAGACTACTACGAATGCCCCAACGGATGTCATGAAACACCTTGGCACCCGAACATGCAGGAATGTGAGTATGGATGTCACCATCCTCCCAGAAGGAACAGAGTTGAAAGAACAGCACCTTCAGGAACAAACACCAGGTTTGTCCGTGCAGCAAGGAACTCAAGGACTCGAGAGATCGAGGTAGTGCTGGATTCTGGAGCCGACATCTCGTTGGCACCAATGTGGATGAAGAAGTACGGAAGGAAAGCGCCCAACACTACTAAGGTGGTTTTGCGAGACGCACAAGGATCTCGTATCAAGGTTTCAGACCAAAGGATCATTGAGGTTGAGTTTCGAGAAGTTCAAGGAAATATCGTGAAGGTTGAAGAAGTGTTCTTGATTTCATCGGTTGTGCACCCTCTTTTGGCAGTAGGTAAACTGTTGAAGAAAGGTTGGGAGTTCAGAGATGGAACGACTACAGGCACTTTCCTCACAGAAGGAACAACCAAGATCGCGGTGAACTACAACAACAACTCACTTACGACAAAAGCCTTTGTGAGAGCAGTCAACTGGGAAGCAGAAGCCAAGCCTATTCCCATATACTTGTGCGAGAACCTGAAGGAACTCATGGAAGAACAACGTGTTGGTTGGACCAATTGGAGAGACCCTTACCAAGTCCACTACAGCTTAGGAACTTCAGAGCACGTTGATACCTACTTGATGTTTCCACCAGGAAAGTTTGCGTACAGAGCAGTACTTATTGAGGACGACGATCAGTGGTTTCTGTTGCATCACAGCATCATGTTCGAGGAACTTGAAGAACCATTCGGAACAATCTTTGACGGCAGCAAAGAGTATCGAACACTGACGTTAGTATCGCTCAAGGAATTTCCATTGACCCTCATAGGTACACCTAAGGAAGATGAAGATCGCAAGATGTTCGAAGAGTACACTGAGGATGCATGGTCAATCAGCATGGATGGTACGACACTCACTAGGTACCACAACTCGTTGAGAAAGACATTGTTCAATCCTCGAGATACCAACGACATTCCAGTGGATATTGGAAATCTCAAACCAGACAGGTACACATACGGAGAAGAACCGATCAACAAGGATTTCTTTGAGGATGATAAGTTCTGGACTTTGGATGAGCCTCACAGAGACCCAGAACCACTAGGAGGTTTATCTTGGACAGGACGAAGTGTATTCGAACTCATTGAACCAGTGAACCCCAAGGCCAGGAAACCAAAACAGAAGGTTCACCAACTGGACACGATCCCAGAACAAGAAGAAGAAGAACAGGAAGAGACCTCAGAGGCCCAAGCACCAGCTCACAGACACGAGCTTGCAGGAGAACTGTCATGTACATTCAACGGTCATGAGTACAACCAGCAGAACAGCCTCAAGGCCCTGAAGGAACTTTGCAAAGAACTTGGAGTTTCAAAGTTTGGTTCTAAGCAGGACATTCTCAAAAGACTCAGCAGGTCAATCATGGAAGCAGAAAGGCACATGGAGCTTACCTCAGCCCAGAAGAAGTACAAGGAGTACATCGAAGCAGAACCCCTCAAGGTACCAAAACAGCCAAAGCCAGAAGAAGTTGCACATCTTCGTGAGAACCCAGAGAAGGAAAGATCTTCGAGACCAACTCTCTGCATGGATTTCTGTTTCACAGGAACAAGTCATGATGAGGCACCAGCAGCAGTTAGTCTTGTGTGTGTTGATTCTTGGAGTAGGAACATGGTCTGTATCCCTACAGCATCTAAAGGAAAAGATCTTGTAGAGCACCTTTGCGAAGGAGTCACCTACTTGAGCACCCAACTAGGATATGGAGCCATCAACCTGAAGGCCGACAACGAAGGAACGATGATGAAGCTGAAGCAGGTAATCCACAAGCAACGCGCAGCCTTAGGTCTAGGAACAATCTTGCAGGACGCAGTCAGTGGCCAGAAGGAAACCAACGGCATGGCAGAGAGAGCAATTCAGACAATTAGGCGACAAGGAACTACCTTGATTAGGCACCTGGAGCACAAAACAGGAACATATATTGCTCACACCCATCCAATCTTCAGTTGGGCTTTCAGGCATGCAGCGTGGACCTTGAACAGGTACCATCGTCACACAGGTACAGGAATGACACCATATGAATGGATGGCCGGGCGGCCTTACGAGGGCCAACTTGCAGAGTTTGGTGAATCACTTTTGGTTTTGACCAATCGTTCAGGAACACGTGCCAATAGGAAAGGCGACCCTATTTGGCTGAGAGGAGTGTTCTTAGGAAAAACAGACAACAACCTCTTCATTACATGGCACATGGACGGCATCAAGACAAGCCGTAGCGCAAAACGCTGTGTGGAACATTTCGACATCAAAGGAATAAGCAGCGTAGGAATCCATACTTGGGAAGTTAAGCACACTACCCTTACGACAAGGAACATCCCAAGGAAGAACATCCCAGGACCACTTGCAGAGGCACCACCGATCATGGATGGACCCGGAACTAAGGAACAGATTGCTCAGGAATCGGCACCTTCGGCGCCATCAGGACCGGTTGTCATCCAAGGCGGGGGCCCTGCAGGAAAACCAGGACCTACTAGGTCAACGTACTTAGAGAACAAAGCCAAGCAAGCACAGAGCAAAAGGAAAGCAGAAGAAGAACTTGAGCAGGAATATCCCGACGAAAACCAAGATGAAGCAGCATCGGACCCAACGTCTTCAAGCAGTAGCAGCAACAAGGAAATGGACGCAGCCTCAGAACCAGAACTCATCCCAGACAGTGCAATGGCCAGCGAACTACTTTCAGCTAGAGGACCTGCACCTCTCAGGAAGCAAGAGTTTGAAGATGTAGGAACAGGTTCCAAGATTCCGAAGATAGATTCTCCCAAGAAAAGGTACCCTCCGTTCAACGTAGGAAGAGTGTACGAGCACAATGACGAGGAACTACCTGAAGCAGAACCAGGTACAGAAGACATTTTCTGGGAAGATTCGTACTCAGATATTGGCGATTCAGATGATGAGGAAGACATTTTCAAGAGCGAGGACTCAGGACCTCCAGAAGTCCCAGAGGCACAGTTGCAGGAACTGGACCGTGAGGCGATGCTCACGGAGATCAACAGACTCACAGAGATGAAGGCATTGGCAAGGAAACCCTTGCAAGAACTTGAGAGAGAAGAACCGAGAGAGAGAGAAGAAGAAGAAAGAGACCAAGGAACGAAGTGGCTCACAACGAAGTTTGTTTTCGATTGGAGATTCAGGAATGGCAGATGGATGCGTAGAGCTAGGTTAGTGGCTAGAGAGTTTCGAGGTGTAGAGGTCAGGAATGACACTTTCAGCCCAGCTACAAGCGCATCATTGGTGAGACTTATCCCTATCTTGGGACTACAACAGGAACATTCCCTGTATTCGATTGACGTCAAGGATGCATTTTTACAGGTACCGCAGAGAACCCGTTGCGCATGTCAATTCCCAAAGGAATATGTGGATCTGTTTGGCGACCAAGACCCTAACTGTAGGAACGAAGGTTTGTTACTGCTTAGAGTACTTCCGGGACAGCGAGATGCAGCACTTCTTTGGAGTGACCATTTTGCAGGAACACTTAAAGAGCAGAACTTTGATAGGTGCATAGCTTGCCCTACTTTGTTTCGTGATGATAGGAACAGCATACTTGTTGTGCATGTGGACGACATTCAAGCAGCAGGGAAAACCAGACACCTAGAGCCCAAGCTAGGAAAGCTGCATCTCTTCACGCGTGCGTGTCGATGTTTTATAGATCCTAGGTCAAACGAAATTTTGTAAGCAACAAAATTTTGGGCCATGACAATCTTTGCGCTACTCCTAGTAGTGCTTTAGAATCAAACTTTTACAGCTTTCAATAGTTGTTTCACGATTTCATTTCTCAGAGCAAGCGACGATTTTTACTTCAGCGTCAGTGCACGTCCACTTGCTCATGATCGAATCAGTGACCACCGAAGCTGTCTCGAGTTCGAGTCAGAAATTTTTGATTCTGGGCTCTCTAGAGGCCTGTAATTCTGGCTAACAGGTCTGAGTCCTCTGTACCTCGGTGTTGCTCTTAGAGCACCGTGCAAGACTGCCCGTGGTGGGGCAGTCGGATGGAAGAGGCCGCTCCGGCAGGTCTCGCTGCGTCCGAGGCGTCTGAGCACCCTAGCAGTCTCTCGAGTTTTGAGGCTTTGTCCAGCCATCTTTATCGCTTGCAGATTTCGCACGACCTGCTTGAGTCTCGTGTCCGCGTGGCCGAGGATCGCTTAGATTGGTTGGACAGGCAAGCAGCAAGCTCAGCCGCTCGTATCTCCTGGCTTGAAACTTTCATTGCACATTTGCGGCATCTGTTTCGCCGCTTCATTTGAGTTCTGCTTGCGCCTGCGCGCGCTTCCGCACAGTTTGAGCCTGCACTGGCTTTCTGTGAGCTGTAGTAAAATGGGGGATGATGAGAACAGCTCCCTTTCTTCGAGCTATGGGCTTCACCTGAGGTCGTGCCTTAGAGACTCGAGGTCTGTTTGGAAGACCCCTTGGAACGGTGCACTCGTTGCCTTTGACCCTAGGCCCCGCCTGCCGCCTCCTCTTGGACCTCTCCCCCTTGTAGTCCCAGTGAGCCCTTCTGCTGATCAGCCGGCCGTGCCGATCCCTCGCTTCGTCAGGTCGGAGGGGCTTGAACAGGTGTGTGCTAAGATGGCCAAGTTCAAACACACTTCATGGGAAGTTATGATCAACGAGGAGAGAAATCTTGCCGTGAATAAGTGGCTCAGCCTGGTCATGGTCGAGCCCTTGACCTTCGGTGTAGCTAGGAACTTCTACGCCGGCAAGGCGTCGGGGATCTCCTCGGGATCACTTGCAGACAGCATTTCGGATTGCCTTGCTGCCAAGGCCACTTCGACGATCAATGCCAGGGCAAATTGCTTGTTGCGGTTTGTTTCTTGGGCAAAGGGGAACATGCCGTTTGTTTTTCCCTTGACCGAGCATGCTGTCTATGCATACTTCGAGGAGAAGAAGTCAACAGCAGCAGCAACTTCGTTCAGGAGCCTTCTTTCTTCCGTTGCTTTCGCTCAGCATGTGGTGGGCCTGGAAGGGTGTGACAAGGTTTACACTTCGGGTCGCGTCCGCGGCCTTGCGTCGAAGCTTTACATGCAGAAGAGGAAGCTCAAGCAACGGAATCCTCTGAGGGTCTCCGATGTCATTCTTCTTGAAAGGATTTGTTGCAAGCTTGAAGACAGGTCTTTGCAGGACCGCATCGCTGCAGGTTTCTTTCTTTTCTTGATTTATGCAAGAGCTAGATACAGTGACGGGCAAAATGTAGCATCGCTGACTGATTCGCCGCTCTACTTGGAGTGCAGTGTGGGCAGGTCCAAGACGAGTTTCACTTTGGAACGCAAGACCAGGTACTTGCCGATGGCTGCCAGGAAGGTGGGCATCAAGTGTGCATGGGCCGATGCTTGGCTTGAGGCTTTGGCAGAGGCAGGTCTTGCGATCAAGCAGAACGACCCGTTGCTCCCCTGCCCTTCTTCGAATGGCTCGTGGAAGATGATCCCGCTTCCGTGCGATCAGGCGTGCTCGTGGCTCAGGAGCCTGCTGGGGAACGCTCAGAGCGATCCCTACCTTGCAAATGTAGGAACACATAGCCCTAAGAGAACTTTGCTGAGCTGGGCAAGCAAGCGTGGTCTGCCCAGAGAACAGAGGGCCCTCTTGGGGTATCATACGTCCCGAGCCTCGGGTGCGGGATCAGAGCTGATCTATGAGTCCGATGCCCAGTCGGCTCCGCTCAGGACTTTGTCATCTATGATCGACGAGGTCTCGTCCGGGGCCTTCAAGCCTGACAAACCAAGGGGGCAGCAGCTTGCTTCCGAGCTGTCGGCGAATGCCGATCCCCCTGGCGATGAGATCGAGTCGTCAGACTCTGAGGGCTCCGAAGATGAGGAGGAGATCGACCACTCAGGAGACGAAGCTTGTGTTGCTGAGGCTTTGAACTGGCATGGAAAGGTCGATCTTGACAAGATTGATCCCTCGTGTGTTTTCTTTCGGCATCGCCAATCCAGGGTAGTGCACATCACTGCCGACGAAGCCGGTGCCAACCTAGGCTGCGGTAGGGCCATTTCGGGTCAGTACAGGAAGCTGGAGGCGCGACCCGCAATTTTGCATCCAAGGTGCAAGCAGTGCTTCAGGAGGTACTTGATTGTGCAGCAGGGCACATGACTCTGCATCCGGCTCGTGTCGCCAATTTTGTGCAAAAGATGTGATGCCGTGCACGTGCATTTCGCAAGCCGGTCAAGTGCTGTGATTAGGTGTATCGTGCAAGAGCGGAGAGATCTGGCGGGTGTCGTGTCCTGCAAGAGGAGTGATTCGATGAGGAACAAAGCCCTCCTGCAGCTGCTTTCAGCTCCAAGTGGTCTAAGCAGCTCACCATGGCGGCCTTCTCCGAGTCGGGGCCGGTGTTTAAATCACGATGTGCCCAAGTCGGTTTGGCATCTGCGGATGTTGAAAAACTCGAGAAGGTGGGTGTGAATTCACTCGCAAAGTTCGCTTTCATGACGAGCTACACGCCGGGCTCCGGCGATGACAAGGACCTCATCGCGGCATTTGAGTCGGCCCTCGGGACGCCGCCCTCTGTAGGGCAGAAAAGCTCCTTCCGAAGGTTATTTCATGAAGCTTATGCTGTTACCACATCGGAAATGAAGATGCTTGTGGAGCGGACGGACGAATCCATCCCGAGGAAATTGAGCGTCCCGGAGAGATCTGAGAGGTTCGAGGTCGTGAGCAAACGACTTGTGGGCCTTTCCATCAAGAATCGTCTTGAGCCTGCTGATAGCCTCGTTGACTCCTTCGTGTCTCAGTATGAGCAGGACAAGCTGCAGTTTGTCCCGTGGGAGAAGCTTGTTTCCAAAGAACAAGAGGCCTCAACAGGAGCAAAGCGAGAGCCTTTCTTCTCGCTGGACAGTACTGGCAAGCTCAGATCGGAGACTAAGGTCGAGGTCCGTGCTGACACGAGCACGGAGCTGCTCTTGCAGCTCGCGCTTCAGAGGCGCGGCATCGCTATGGAAATGGCGAACATCCTTGACTACCATCATCACCACATGTGGGTCGAGCGCCTTCTTGCGGCGCGCCTCGACGCACCTCCGTCGACGCACATGCAGCCTACTCTCGATCAGTGTCAGCAGGCTGACAGAAAGCTTTGGCAGCTTCTCGGAGAAGCAACGCGCTCGGGCATCCAGCTCAAAGCTGGTGGGCGACCACTCGACGCCATCTTCGAAGCCACGTGGCAGACACCCGAGGTACTTCAGTACTTCATCTGCTCCAGCCGATGCCTCGGGCAGCAGGCGCTTCGGTCTCACAGCAGGTGGCACCACCGCCGAGACCGCACGGGCCAGGCCCGTACGATCGTCCAGGCAAAGGCCGAAAGGGCACTGGAAAAGGTGCCAAGGGCACCAAAGGTGGCGGGAAAGTCCCTGCCGCTCTGTCAGGCTGCAGATCCTGCACCAATGCTGGTGAAAACATATGTTTTGGGTATGGACTCAAAACGTGCAGGGAAACTGTGACTCGTGGCCGGTGCGTGCGCGGATTGCACATCTGCGCATGGCCTAAGTGCGGCAAGTCGCATCCTGCATTGGACTGTCCAATGCGTGCTGAGGCTCTTAGCCAAAAGCAAGAGTGACAGTCGCAGAGCGAGCCCGGCAGCTCGCAGTGCTCGACTCAGAGTCGAGCTAGCCCAGGCTTGGCTGGGCAAAGTTTTGCATCGTCGCAGGCCCCGCCTGTGCCGAATAATTCTCCTTTGTCAGGTCTTGATCCGTGTCAGCAGAGTGCTCGTATGGATGCAAACAAGTTTTCTTCACTTTTGCAGTTGCTTCGGGGCGCTCAGTGGCCCGACTCTGTGTTGCAACGCAAGTCTGTTTCTTCAGCGAATCCCACGCAGTCGGGGTATTACAACTTCGGGCCCAGAGCCAGCAGCCCGCAGCATCTGACGCATGCCACGCTTGCCATGCAGGCTTTCGTCCAGCAACTGAATGCAGCCATCAAGGGGCTTCTGCCCCAAGTGTCCTGGAATGCAATCTGTGTAGGCAGGAACACCTTATCGGATTTTCACAGAGATTCGGGTAACCAGCAGGGTTCACTGAACCACACCTTCTCGCTTGGCGCCTTCACAGGCGGCCAGCTCTGGCTTGAGGATGCATCGGGCACTTCTGAGGCTACTGTTCCAGGCGACAAGCAAATCAGAGGCAAGATAGTAGACACGTTCTGCCGCCCCACTAGCTTTCCATGTAACTTGTGGCATAAGACTATGCCATACACAGGCGAGAGGTGGGTCGTCACACTCTACACTCTTTCAGGTGGGCAACCTACGGCGCTGCTCCCATTGGGCTTTCCGTGTGCACCTACTGCTGCGGCACAACAGCTCCCTGTAGAGCGGCCGCCTCTTCAGACTGCCTTGCCGTGTGCCACTGCCACTTCTGGGTCTAGCCCCGCGGTCCCCAGCCTTTTGGGTTCTAGTCCCGCCTCACCTGCCGACCCCTCTTGTAAACGCTTGAAATCGCAAGCTCATGCCCCGCAGCCTCCCCGGCATGAGAAACCTTTGTTCTTGGAAATTTGCAGTGGGTCCGCGATGCTTTCTTATGTTGCCAAGGAGGCCGGATACACGGCCGTGCCAATCGATTGGCATCACAACAAACAACGGACGTGTGTGCACACTTTGCAGCTTGACTTGCGCCTTGACAGCACGTGGTCTTTCCTACGACGCATTTGCTCGGAGTACAACGTCGCCTGGGTCCACATGGCTCCTCCATGCGGTACTGCCAGCAGAAAGCTTCTCGGCTCGAGCGTTGTTCTTCTGTGAGTGTGGGTGGGGTAGGTAGGGGCGGGGTAGGAGGCATCGGCCGTCCGGTGCTTCACTGCCATAGGAGCTGCGGAGCGCTCTGCGTTGGCTCCCAGTACTCCTTTTTCACTGCGCTTTCTGATTTTTCACTGCTTGGTCTGCGGCTGTTCTTTGGCTCTTCGCTGTCAACACAATTTCGCTGACACCTGCGCTGCATATCAGAGCAGTTGCGATTGATTTGCTCACGGACGAGCTCCCGACTTCCACTGATCTTTCAAGACAGATTTTGCATTTGGCCACACAGGTTTGGGCAGATCTTACAGCAGTTGAAGTTCTTTTGTGGGCCTCGGAGGTGCTTCCGTCGCCATCTGCTCTGCAATTGGTGGCCTGGACTGCCAAGCATTATCCGTCGATATATACATCTATTGCTGCTCGAGACTTCTTATAGGCGAACAATTTGAGCAGAGATGTTTTCCTCCTGGCATGTGATACTCTTGTGGCTTACCTTGGGGACGACGGTGGTGCATGCAGGGCCGCATCGCAGGCCCACAGCGGTCCCGACAGATGACCCGCCTTCCGAACATGTACTCATTCTGGAAGAGATTGGCACGGGACAGCTGGAAGGGCATTCGAGCGAGAGCACTCTGTTCTCAGCGACCATGGCACCATGTGGGTCCGAGACGCCACCTGATGCTCCCCAGCCGCCTGCAGCAAGTGCCTCCGCGAGGTCTTGCAATCCGGTGGAACATTTATTCCACGGCCTGGACTCTGCGGTTCACGCCCCGCTACAGCAGTTGCTTGACCAACTGGATTTATTCATGTGGTATTCGTCGCAAGAGGATGACCCAACGACTGCCCAAGAATGGCCGACGATTCTATCGCAGCTGAACGACAACCTCAATCAGGCTATTTGTTTTGTCGCTCTGGAAGATGTTATTGCGGCGGTACGGTATCGGGCAGAAACTCATATGAGTACCAACCGGCTGGATATGGCACTCTCGCGATTTGCAGAATATTTCCTGTTGCGTGGTCATGCAGGCCAGCCCATGGCTCTACCGCACATGCTTCAGTCCAGTATGTATTCAGTGTGCGATTTTGGCAAGGCAGTACAGCAACCGCAGCCAGCTCCTCCGCAGACCTTCAAGCTATGGACTAGGCCCTCTAGTGCCTTTTCTATCTGCAAGCATTGCACTGCTGATGACCCTCAGGTGTGTGTGAAGTGGAGGCCGCTCCATCCATCCACAACACGAAGGACGACTCATGCATGGCCCCATGCTGCATGCTCATGCTACGGCTATGGTCTGTTTCGTGCCTCAGGGAGTCTACTTGTGGGACCTACACTGGTCTCTGTCTCAACACACAACCGTTACCAGCATCATGATACCTTCTGCAATGCTGTACTCAGGTCTTCGCTTTTTGAATCACTTGAGCCGGCGCGGGAGACCACCAATAGACAAACGACCGGCGCCTTCAGGCCAAATTCCTACAGTGCAGCATGACGTATGTGCTACTCATCGATGCTTCGCCGGATGCCTGCAGTTGTCAGATTCACTTGCGTGCAGCTTGCCGTGTTATCGTTGGAACAAGCCATCATGGCCCACAGTAGGCGTGTCTGTCCTGTGTGACATGTGCTTATGTGACACCCGAAGACAACAAGACCATATGACGGCACATTCTCCATGGATACAGTTGGCATCTTCGGTGCATGATATACGTGTACTTTGGCTGGCCTTCTTGTCGCCCCGTGCAGCACTTGCAAACTCCGTGGACGAGGCGGGATCTCGATCTGCTTACGCTATGCAGCTTTATTCCTATGCCAGCTCCGTCCCCTCACAGAGGACATGCCCATATGTTTGTGATATTTTCGCGACGGCAAGGGACTCAGCTACGTTCTTGAACAAGCCCAGTGCAGCAACTGACCTCACCGGAAGGTCGTACCTGTGTCTATTCAGTATTTCCTCGCGGCAACTATCCGAGAGGCAGTCCTGGCTTTGGGCATTCATATTGGCCAGTATACATCGTGCATCGCTCGGAATGCCCGCGACCATGATCAGGATTGCTTCGGCCACCCACTGTTGCACGGACTGTATCAGGCTACGCGGGCCACCAGCCTGTAGGCACGCAGTGGACCTGTTGTCCCCTCGTATGTTCCAGGATGCTTACCATGATATGCCAGGTTGGACCACAGCTCATTCAGCCTCTGATATACACTTTTGCAGCCTGCACACCGCAATGACCCGGGGAAGGCTCGACCTGTCCTCACGTGTACCCTCCGAAAGCTTCTGCTGTCTAGCAACAGATGCATGTCAAGGTCTGTGGCTGCCTGTGATCGCGGACCCTGGCCCACACCCTGTGCTTGCTCGCCCTACTGTCCTGCTGTCCATTGCTCACTGCCCAGGTCTGTGGCAAGCCGATTCTATCAGCCGACACCAGCAGGCTCGACTGCTTCAGAATTCACAATGGTCAGATGTGACTCGCGGTGTGCAAGCCCTTGCACCTATACGTTCCGACTTGCATGTTGCTGTTTGCATTTGGGATTACAGCGGTTGCTATGGCCAGTATGTACACAATCAGGCCCTACAACGATATTGTCGATTCCTGCATTCTGTGATATATGTCATTTCGGAACACAGATGGTGGTGCAGGCCATACTTATTCCGTGTAGCCTTAACGAGCAGAGTTGAACCATTTTGCGTGGTGCTTGCAAGCATGGGGAGAGATTCTCGCAGCGCCCCGAAGCCTCATGACTCTGCCGACACGGTGGAACCTTTGGCGAAGCGGGCTAAGGTCAGAGATGCACTGCCAAGACGTCGACCCATGCAGGACTCCGACCAGCATAATCAGACTCCCTCTTCGCCGATGACTCGCACCACTGCTGGTGCCTCTGCCAGTGCATCAGCTGGTGAGCTCAGGCCACGTGAACCTTTGCCACGACATCGGCAGCTACAAGCCAAGTCAAAGACAAGCAAACCCGCCGATAGCCCAGGGAATGCAGCCGTGGCACGTACACCAAACAATGACCCGACAGCTCGTGGACCAGTTGCATCCAGTATAGTGGTCAGTGAATTCTCGGACGGGGTCCTTATTAAACAAACCGGACTTCGGGCTCGAAGCCCATCCTCTACTCCCGGGACAGGAAGCTCAAGAAGACCTCCTACGCCACCAAGGTGTCTACGTGAAACTGCTCATGGTATATCGGTCAGTACTCAGACAAGGCGACCCAAAATGGTGAACAAGGCGGTGCAGGTGGGCAAATGCGGTCTCAAAGCCCAGTCCAAAGCTCGTCCCCGAAGGCTAGATACAAATGCTACAGAAAACCCGGAGGAGGCTCCTGCTCCTGGTCCAAAGGACACTCGTGCCGAACATGATGATCTTCGCCGTCAAGCCGCTGATGCAGTGCTGACTTCAGCCCCCTGGAAAAGACGCCAAAAGGCCAGAGCAGGTGCCCGCGAGCCTGCCAAGGATGGTGTTTCCGAGGGATCTGCTCGAACGACCACAACCTCAGCAAACCCTGTGGCCAGTATGACTCCTCTTCCGACTACGACAACCTCGCGCCAGGGTGAAGCCACTGGGAAGAATGCTGCAGCATCGAGTACTCCGAGCAAGCCCCTGAGCAAGGTCCCATACACAGCTGCTGGTGCCGACCCACAGGAGGAAATCATGGAGCTCCGCTTCGATCAACTTCAGGAGATGCAAAGATCCGCAGCCAGCAGGAGAAACAGTGTTATACAGCGTGCACGCATACAGCAGCAGCAGAATGCATCTTCGAGTACAGATGTTGCGGATGCTTCGCTATTACATGCACCTACGACGGTCTCAAATGCCTCCTCTGCATATATGAAAAAGCGTCCACCGTATGCAGCCCTCAGCTGTCTCGCATGCTTTATTCTGTGCGGCTACATTGCACCTGTGACAGGTCTGTACATGGTCCTCCTTATGTATTGGTGGACCTTTGCTGGCATCGTGCCAGCCCGGTCAGCTCCCCTGGCAATCGTTGCTCGATGTCTGCGTGGTGCCTACAAAATGCAGTGTCCTCTTATCCACATCTTTCTGTCAGGCCCGGTGATCTTATGGATGGTTATATACCTGCTGCAAGAGTTCTGGTCTCAGATTCACTCCTGCCTTGCAGAGATTTGTTCGTACCTGCTACAACAGCCACTACGATCACAATGGCGGAACGTATGCGATCAGGCCCCTGCTGTTGCCACAGTGCTTTTGTGTGGTACATTTGTTGCCTGGCATGCTACCCGACACACCTGTCAATGGAGTACATACTTTGTGCAAACTGCCTTCTCTTGGATGCGATACCTGCACCCTTGGTGCTGCTATGCATGTGGATGCCTCTATTCATACACGAGAGTCTACATCAGGTTACTCGGTACCACTACACTCCGACACACCCCCCCACCAGTTCGCTATTGCCGCCCCGGTCCCAAGTCCGGGGGCCCCTGGGGACTATGGATGCTCATCCTACTGTCTCAACTTCTTAGAGTCTCAGGGGTAGAAGCGAGGGTTGGAGCACCTTCGGTGGGTGCTCCGGGAGCCGCGCAAACGGTGCTCCCCGGTCGCCATCAGGCGAAGCTACACCGACAACGCAAAGAACAAGGAGACTTTATCGTCAAACGTAGTTTTCTCAGAGCACAACGTCGATTGCAACAGCATGGGAACACATGGTATCGCAATCGCTTATACACACACCACGATGAGCTAAAACCTATACCGCTCCGTTCCGGTCCACAGCCGAATGATCCCAATCAGGCTCGGTATGCCCGGCCTCGCACTGCTGTGCCAAACCTGCCATCCTGGCCACTTCAGCAGCCCGCACAATCTGTTACTCCCATACAGTCCAGTGATGTTGGCGTGGTTACTCTTAATGTTGGCGGCTTGAGCAAGGAAGGATATGACGAATTGGCACAATGGTTGAATCAACCATCTACACTTCGCAATGTTCAGATAGTATTCTTGCAGGAGACCTGGAGAAGTGCATCTGAATTCTCCACGCAGCATTGGCACTGGATCCTGTCAGGTGCCGGTCAAACTGCCAAGGCCAATAATGGCAGTGGTGTAGCTGTACTGATCAACAACAAGCTTGCCTCATCGTCACACATTCGCTACCAAGAATGGCTCCCAGGCCGTCTCCTCGAGGTTCGCATTACGGAGGACAAGCGACGTCCTCTTCTGCACAGACCCATCACCCTTGTGTGCGCGTATCAACACTCCAGAATCTCTCACAGTCCTGAGGTGTACGCTAAACGGCTCAGGTTCTGGGAGAAGCTCCAAAAATGCCTGGATGCAGTGCCGACCCGGCACACCCTGATCTTTGGTGGTGATATCAATACTGGTATCTCCCCGATGTCGAGGCTCGTCGGCAAAGGTGCTCAAGTCAGTACCAACCCTGCTCAGGACCAATCCGAATGGCAGGACATTGTACAACAGCACCGTCTTTGTCTTCTGAACACCTGGGGATCGCCGGCCAAAACTGCTACATATGTGGGTGCGGAATATTCTACACTGATTGACTTCCTGGGTGTTAGAGAGAGAGATTCCGGGCATCGCGCCAAACTATCCAGACCACAATCACAGATTCACTTGTTTTCTTGGCGGTCTGGGGCCCGACACCTGCCTGTGTATTCGGTTATCACTCTCAAGAATCCGTATCATCAAGCAGTGACATCCTCGACACAGTCCCACACAGCCCGTATGGACCATCTAGGCATGGCTCACACACTGCTGCACGATCCTCAGCAAGTAGAGCAATTGCGCAGTGTTGTCAGAAACCGGCTGACTTGTGCTTTACAGGACCAGCCCGTGGATGCAATTATGCACCCTATGCACATTGACGCCATCCTGCGACACGGATCCCAGGAACTCTTCCCGGGCACACGCCTCGGCTCTCGTCCGACGGAAGTATGGGATAACGAACAGACTAAGCTCTCGCTGAAACATGTTTGGCAGGCACGTGCGCAGCTTCGCCGACATACCCTTGGGCCTCCACTTCGTGTTGCCTTTCATCTATGGCGTGCTCATTGGCGACTTGTCAAAGCCCGCAAAGCGCTGCATTCGCAGTCCAACAAAGCGCGACGTGATAAATGGGACCAACAGCTTACCGAGGCGGAGGAGGCCTATCACAAGCATGACTCTCATTCTTTCTTTGCTATTGTGCGTAGACTTGCACCACGTCGTCCACGACAGCGCATTATGATGCGTAACAAGGATGGCACACTATGCACACCACAGGAAGAAATTGGGCTGATTCATGACTACTGGCGCGGTGTATTTGATGTTCCGACACTCCCTAAATGCTCCGGCTATCTGTGGCATGGCCTCAACATTACCACAAAGGAGGTGGAAATGGCCATCAGCAAATTATCAATGCGTAAAGCCTCGGCCCCAACCTCGGCTCCGCTCTGCAGCTGGCGTGCTTGTGCTCCTGACATTGCTCCTCTTATACAGGAATATTTGGCACAGCATTGGGGTGAAGGAGAACATGCAGGTGACGAGGACATTGCTAGGTCCTGGCTTGTCTTTCTGGGCAAGCCCAATAAACCCAGCAGCAAGCCCGAAAACCTTCGACCTATTGCTCTACAACCGGCTCCTGCCAAAATCATGGCCCTCCTTTTACGCTGGCGACTGCAACCGTATGTGGAGCAGCTGCTCCACCAATGTCCACAGTATGCATACACCAGAGGAAGAACCACTACGGATGCAATATCCCGTATTGCCCAACACTGTGATTCTGTTCGAGCCAAAGTCAAACAGCAGACACTTTCACTCCATGAACGACGACAGGGCGCTGTACGAACCGTATGCACCGGTGGTGCTCAGCTGACTGTTGATTGCTCCAAAGCTTTTGACAGTTTACCTCGTTGCACTATGATGACCATGTTAACATGGGCTGGTGTACCACCCGACTTGGCCACTGCTATCATACAGGTCCATCAGGCTGGCACTTATCGTCATGGAAACGTGGACGACCCTGAATCCTGGATGGATATTGACAGTGCTCAAGGCGTGCGGCAAGGCTGTATGCTTGCCCCATGTTTGTGGCTATTGTTCGTAACATACCTCTTCCATCACCTGGACACGACAATGGGAGGAGCTGATTCATGGACATGCCAGCACTCCACTGCCTTCGCCGATGATCTTCACTTCAAGTGGGATCTTGACGATCCCAAAGCCCTGGATCGGATGAAGATGGAGGTCGCCACGGTACTCTCAGTGCTCAAGTCCTTTGGTCTTCAGATCAGCGCAGAAAAATCCACCATGTTGATCGAGATCCGCGGAACAGCAGCTGATGTTTGGTTGTCCAAGAACGTCTACAAAGATGCTGAGAACAACAAACACTTTCGTTATGACACGTTTGCCAAGCTCTCTATCCCGCTTGGTACCCAATTCAAGTATCTTGGGGTCATATTATCCTATCGCAACTACGAGCTGGCCAGTGTCAAACATCGTGTACAACAGGCTGCCATACACCATTCCCGTCTTCGTCGCATTCTGCAAGGACGCGGGGGCATCAGCCGGCATCAACGACTTCGACTCTGGCGCATCTGCATTCAGACAAGCCAGCTCTACGGACTCGAGGCCACAGGTGTCACGGAGGCAGGGATCAAATTACTACATGTTCAAATGCTTCGTCACCTAAGGGCCATTACAGGTCGACCCAGGCATCTTGATCGCAGCACTGATCAGGAATTGTTGGACAGTCTCAAAATGGCATCGGTCAGGCAGATGCTATCTCAACGACTTCAGTCGGCAAATACCCGTCTTTGCTCCAACACTGATCTGCCATGCTACGACAAAGACAATATACTGCGACGTATTCAGGCCTTACAAGCAGGTATTGACCGACCGATCTGCACACAGCGGGTCTCTACCGCCTCGACTGCACCTGTACAGCAGACTCAGCATGATGATGTTACGCCGCAGGAGCAGAAAGTGCGACTCCAGGAACTACCCGCTGACACCAAGCAATTTCGATGTCAGGTATGCGGTCAGTCTTTTCCGTCTTTACATTTGGTGAAGACCCATGAAGGAAAAGCCCACAAGATCTTGGCACCGAAACGGGAGCTGCCCCAGGATCGCTCCGTCTACTCCATCAACGGACTTCCGCAATGCCGTTTTTGTGGCTACAAATTCACGAAATGGAGTGGCCTCCAAAGACACATACAGCGGAACGGCTGCCCGATTCTTCGCCATGAAGATCCCGCCACCTTTGCCGCAACCGCGCCCGCGACTACAAACAAGGCTGAAGATCCTCTTCGTACTACACAACATGCATGGGTGGCCGACTCGACCATTGCCACCACCATGCCTTCAACTGGAGATCAACCTCTGGTCCAAGATGCGCAGCTACAGCAGGATGCCAGCAAGTACACGTGGACCAAGGTGCTTCACATGTGGCGTACAAAACATGACTTCAAGAATGTGTGTGTGTTCTGTGGTCAATGGGCAGTGGATGCCAGTGCTCTCAAACAGCATTATGCCAAGCAGCATCAGGCATTAACCAATCCGTGGATCGCAGCATATCGGGCCGAGTGTAAGCAGCTAGCTAAAGTTGCCGTATCTAAGTGCCGCTTCTGTGGTACCACCACCACGGATGCTCGTCAGCATGCCCACAAATGCATACATGTTTTTCAGGCCTACATGCTTACCAGCCACGTCTCAGGTCGAAATGGAGGACATGCCGGACTTCGATGCCGAAAGCCAGATCCAGAGCCTCCTCGGGGGCCTCTCCTCAGTAGTGGATCTCAAACCACTTCTGAATCCAACGTCAACACCGGCGCGCAATCAGTCCCATCTGACCAACAAGCGTCCGAGGGCGGAACAGTGGACTCGAGGCACCGGGAGCAAGGGCGGCGGCAAGGGCAAAGGAGTGGCCTCCAACGGTACTTTATCACAGGAGGATCTTCAACAGCTCCTCAGGCAGATCGTCGTCCTTCTCCTACGCCAAGGCGACCAACTCAATCGGCTACAGACGGATACCGGATACTATTTGGTCTTTCAAGTCCCGGGCGATGCCACCATGGTACCAGTTCTGATTGCGGGAGCGCTCGAATGGCGCAATCAGAAGAAGGCCGACCCGACCAAGCTCACCATGTCTCTCCGCATAGCCCTCATCGGACTCTTCCTCAAGGAGCTTCAGATGCGTCTGGAAAAGATCCGGGCCAACGACCAACTTCAGGAGAAGCTCAAGGAGCAAGGCCTGATGACGGACGAAGGTGCTTGGACATATCGCCAATGGTGTCCAAAGAACAAAGCACTTCAGCTACAGCTCAGCAGGGATCCGATCAAGTGGGACGTCCTGATGACACACATCACGAATGCTCTCCAGGGACTGAACAATCAGGACCACATCACACGTTTTCAGGCGACCAAAGCCTTGGAAGAAGGACAGATGGGTCCCACCCTTCCATTCCTTCTGGACATCTCGCTCAAGCCGAGTGCGTGCCGTCTACACCAGAGCATGAGGGCATTGGTGGACTGCTCGGCCATGGAAGCAGTCGGCGCACGTATTCGACCCCAACGAGCCAAGCGATCTCAACTCCAGGATCAGCTCCAGGAGTGGCTGCGAGGCAGGTTCTATCATGTCGGTTGCACAATCCACACAATATCTGTTATGCCAACTCTTTCTTCATTGCCCTTGCATGGCTATTTGGTGAGGTCTCGATCTCTGAACATGCCCAGGCTCTATTTCAGATCTTGTGTTTTATCTGCCAGCACGGTCTCAAATTGCTGTGTCTGCCTGATCACACGGCTTTTCAGGCATTGATTCAGGAATGGCCACATTTTGACCGACAGCAGGATGTGGCAGAGTTTGCGCAACATGTCCTCGATCGTACATGGCCGGTTCAGAATGTGCTTCCAATGAGTACTTGGCAGTCTCGTGACGAATCAGGATTCTCAACCGATGAAGGTCAGCACCTCATTATGCTTCCGATGCCCTCTCGCGGTTCAAACTCTGAGATTCAGCTGTCAGGGCTGATACAAGCCTGGGCTCAGCAGTCTCCTGCACCAGGGCTGTGGCCACTGCCTCGGTTTGTGTGCCTGCAGCTTCTTCGCTTTTATACGGTTGGTGCCAGAGTTCGCAAAGACCAAAGAGCAGTAACGATTCCGCTTCAGGTACGCTTACCAGTATTTCAAACCGAGATTGGACCGCGACCAGCTTGGCGTATGTATAGACTCCGAGCCCTCATTGGGCATCACGGCTCCACTCCGCGCTCAGGTCACTACAGAACGCTGCTGATTCACTGGGAGTCCACCCAGGAAGATCCCCAGTTGTATTACACAGATGATTCCTGTATGGCGCGTCGCCCCACAAATGCACAACTCCGTGTGTTGATGACTGAAGTCTACTTGATCTTCCTGGAGTGCGTGGGGTATGTCAGCTCACTGTAGATGCGGTAAAACAACCACTCGGGTGCTGCACTGTACATGCTTGCATGCTTTGCATTATATCAGTGCCCTCTTGATTCGCCGCCCTTTTCCGGCTTTTCATGCATATGCCAGCTTTGAGCGTGTGTGCAGGTCATTATGCTTATCTTTTCTACATGGCGACTCACACTTTGGTGGGAACACCGACGGATTCAGCTGCAGTTCCAAGCCTAGATGCTGCCTGTATGCCCTACAATTTACTACATGACGTGCCTTTCGGTATTTATCAGTCCAGACAGCGTGCCCAGTGGATGGATGCCAGAGGCACCTACAATTCACTTGATGATGTACCACACTGTCTTCAGAACCGATGCACGACATCCAGTTTTCAGGCACGTATGGCATCCAGCAGTGGTTCACATGGCACACCTGCGCAGCTATTGGTCCTGGTTCCGGCAACATCTGATTCTCTGGATGATGTACCACATTGTCTTCGAGACCGAGGAAGTGAACCTATCTCATGTATCACGATGGATATGCTACATACCTGGGCCGATCAGCCTGCATCTCAACTTCTTACTCCCCACCGCCTTGCTCAATTTTTGCATCGATGGGGTTTTTCAGCCGTGGATATTGTTGAATGGGGCATTTATTACTACTTTGAGCAGGCTCCATGTACAGATGCAGAGTGGAAACAGGTGCTTCTTCAGCAGCTACACCGCAATGTTTATCAGCTTTCCATGTCTGGTGCCATATGCTATTTCAAACAGCTGCTAGTGGGTGCCCATCGGGAGGACTTTTATGAGGAGCTTTACACGGTGGCATGCCGTCGCATTCAGCTGGATGATCCTACTACTACTATGACCACTGTTCTTCACTGGCTATATATACTGGCCACGTATGGTACCTTGGTCTGATGCCTCTACAGCTGTTTCTTTGACTGCATGGCCTTTACAGTCTGGTGGGCCATGCTATCTATCAGCTTCCGATCCACTGCTCTTCAATCTTCTGTATGGTGCCTCTGATTTCGATGGTGTTGCTTCATCAACGGTCTATTTACAGCATGGGACTTCTTTGTACATGTACATACGGTCGAGTGGTCCAGTCCGTCTGGTTAGACCAATGCCATGTGTACAAAGGTCTAGTAGTCCAGTTCGTCTGGTTAGACCACGGTGTATATACGATCGAGTAGTCCAGTTCGTCTGGTTAGATCGATGCCATGTGTACAAAGGTCTAGTAGTCCAGTACGTCTGGTAAGACCGATGTGTATATACGATCGAGTAGTCCAGCACGTCTGGTTAGATCGATGACTTGTGCTCTGTCTCACCTTTGTTAATGCTGACGTTGGTTTTTAAAACCACTCCTGCAGTGTTTGCCCACATGTGGCTAGCCCGGTGGGATTCACTGCTTTTGCTCACTCTGAGCCGATGCCACTGTGCATTGTAGCGTAGCGCGAGACTGCTGGACAGTTTGCGTCATACAAAGTACAAAAGTACAAAGTACTGCCAGCAGAGCTCGGGAATGCGGGCCCGGCCCCAACCCACTGCGTTCACTTCGCCACGTGCGTGGGCTCCCCGGCCTTCCACCAGTGGAGCAGGCCCGGGTGGATAGTGCCAACACTATATTCACTATATATGACAACATGGTGGCCTTCTGTGACTGGTTGTTTCATGCCATGCCGCATGTCCCTTTCTCCGTTGAGAACCCCTTGCATAGCTACCTTTGGCAGCTTCCGAAGTGGGCCGCGCTGGTTTCAAAGCACTCCTTCGTCACATTTGACTCGTGCCTCCACGGGTCACAACGCAAGAAGGCCACGGCCCTTCTCACAAACTCTGAGCATTTGCACTGCCTTTCCGGACCCTGTCCAGGTTGCTCCTCACATCTGCCATGGGGCAAGCAGGGCCGCTCTTTTGCCACTGCTGAAGAGACCGGCTATCCCAAGCTTCTTTGTGAAAGGATCGTCGCCTGCGTGGATAAGTCGGCCGCATCACGAGGCATTGCGCCAGAACGCCTAAGTGTTTCCAAGGTCTCTGCTGCACGCGCCGCAGGTCAGGTGCAACCTCGTGGCCGAAAGTTCCCGCCGATCATTTCTGAATTTGCTTACACCGTTTCAGTTCGCAGTGCTGAGGCTCCCACTCTCAATTCCAAGCACTGCCTTTCGACTGCCTGCAGGTGCCAAGCTCCTCAGGGAGTCAGTTGAACGGGGAGGTTCGCGACTCCCAGAGGGCAATAAGTTCTACATTTTCGGCGTGTATCGATCCATGCAAGCTTTCTTGAACGAGGCAAAGTTAGTTGTGCACCCCTTTGATTCCGCCAGATCACTTCCCGATGAACTTTTGCGAGTCTTGTTCGACACCCTTACGAAGAGCCCGGTCGACACGATGAGGCACCGTCTTCTGAAGTTACAGCATCGGCGTGCCCTCGCCAAGCAGCTTGAGCCAGAGGAAGAGAAAATCAGGTCGGCTATGGACCCTTGTGTGCGGAAGGTCCTCGGGTGTAAACGTATTGCGCTCATGAAGAGGGTTGCCGCCGACTTGTCGTGGCCTGACACGGCTCTCTTCGATGACCTGGCTGCCGGCTTTAAGCTAACGGGGTACTTAGGACGTACGGGGGTCTTCGCTAGCGATGTTAAGCCTGCCACGATGGACCTTGACGAATTCTGGGCCAGTGCTCCCCTTCGAAGGGAAACTCTGCTTGAGAAAGTCAGGGCTCAGAAAGACCATGATTATGCCGAGGAGCTCTGGAACATGACGCTTGAGGAATCAAACAGATCCGGGAAGTGCTGGCTTGACGGTCCGATTGATGTTGACTCTTTGGGGGACACCTTCCCCGAAGGCTGGAACGCCTGCCGGCGTTTTGCAGTCTGGCAGGGCAAATGGCGTGCCATCGATGACTTCTCGGAAGCTGCGGTGAACTCTTGCTTCGGATGTTTTGAACGTGTCACTCTTAAAGCCCTTGATGAGATATGTTGGCTGTGCATGCAGGTTTGCCGTGCGGCAAAATCATCGGGCTCCCTCGATCTGGAGCTCAGCTCGGGTGAGAGACTCAAGGGGCCTCTCCATACTGCGTGGAAGGACGCTGACCGCGTCCGTCCTCACTGCAAGACTTATGACCTTCAGGCGGCGTACAAGCAGCTTGCATTGCACCCAGGCGAGAGGCCGAAATCCATCATCCTGCTCAGGGAGCCCGGCTCCCGCGCTGTAAAAGCCTTTGTGTGCAACACCCTTCCTTTCGGGACTTCGGCTTCAGTCATGCAGTTTAACCGGGTGGCATTGTTTCTGCAAAGGGTTCTTTGGGATTTGAGGGTAGCCGTGACTTGCTACTACGACGATTTCCCGACCATGACACCCTCGTTCTTGTCGGGCGGGACGGACAATGCAGTCCATGCCCTCATGGACTTGTTTGGCTTCTCCTTGTCCGAGAAAGAGAAGCCGTTCTCTTGCACTGCAGAAACTTTGGGTGTTGTGCTCGATACGTCGGATCCCGACATGGGGCGCATCTTTGTATCGAACAAGCCTGAACGGGCTGCCATGCTCGAGGAGTCCATAGGCCGCATCCTTGAACAAGGCCAGGTGGACACGAGGGAGTTGCCCTCCCTTCTTGGCAAACTTCGCTTTGCAGATGCTCAGCTGCTCGGCCGCACGGGGCGTTTGGCCCTGGCTGACCTCAGGCTCCTTGGTGACAAAGGTGGTGTCTTGCAGTTGACCGATTCGCAATCGAATGCCTTGGCTGTTTTGAGGGCGAGACTTCTTGCGAGCAGGCCGCGAGCCATTGCTACGAGCCCGCCTTCGAATCCAGTTCTTATCTTCACGGATGGCGCATGCGACCCGTGCGAGGGCGGCTTCACCTCTTTGTTCCCGGCAAGGGGGTAGCTAGGGCTTTCGGCTGCAGGGTTCCGACCAAGCTCGTCAGGCAATGGGCCGAAGGTAGGAAACACATTATAGGGCAGGTCGAGCTTTACGCGGTGGTGCTCGCCAGGATCTTGTGGTCGAGTTACATCGGCGGCGAAAGATGCATATTTTTCGTTGACCATTCGGGTGTGTTGAGTGCTTGCATCAACTCGAACTCGATCGATGCATCGTGGAGAAGCCTGCTCCTCCACCTGGAGGCTGCCGATGAAGCACGGCCGTGTTTGCCCTGGTTTCATCGTGTCCCGAGTCAGAGCAACATCGCGGACCCGCCTTCGCGAGGCAGATGGGACGAGCTGGCATTCCTCGGGCCTTTTGCTCGTGACGCGCCGACTTGCTTTGTCACTGGTGAGGCGCTTGATGCAACGTAACGCATAGTCGAGAGGGGGAGATTGGTGGTCACGTTGCACTCCAAAGTGCGACTGGATCTGTTGGCACGCCTGGTGCCTCGACTTAGGTGGAGGGGCACTCTTAGTGCCCGGTGCACACGTTGTGCACTTGTGTTTTCCGCGAAAACTCCCCATGACTCTCGGCTGTGCCGTGAAAACAAGTGTGAGCGTTCTGCATCAATTTCTTATCACCTGTATATATTCGAATCGGACCAACATATGTGGTCGACAATTCTTTATATGATTTGAAGTGGAGATATTTGATCGAGGTATTTATACTTGATCCAAATATGTGATTGTCATGGATGACCGGATCTATAAGCATCTCTTCACGCGTGCGTGTCGATGTTTTATAGATCCTAGGTCAAACGAAATTTTGTAAGCAACAAAATTTTGGGCCATGACAATCTTTGCGCTACTCCTAGTAGTGCTTTAGAATCAAACTTTTACAGCTTTCAATAGTTGTTTCACGATTTCATTTCTCAGAGCAAGCGACGATTTTTACTTCAGCGTCAGTGCACGTCCACTTGCTCATGATCGAATCAGTGACCACCGAAGCTGTCTCGAGTTCGAGTCAGAAATTTTTGATCCCGCCCACCCACCCTAGGGGGAGATTGGTGGTCACGTTGCACTCCAAAGTGCGACTGGATCTGTTGGCACGCCTGGTGCCTCGACTTAGGTGGAGGGGCACTCTTAGTGCCCGGTGCACACGTTGTGCACTTGTGTTTTCCGCGAAAACTCCCCATGACTCTCGGCTGTGCCGTGAAAACAAGTGTGAGCGTTCTGCATCAATTTCTTATCACCTGTATATATTCGAATCGGACCAACATATGTGGTCGACAATTCTTTATATGATTTGAAGTGGAGATATTTGATCGAGGTATTTATACTTGATCCAAATATGTGATTGTCATGGATGACCGGATCTATAAAGGAGAGACCTACGAACTGAAGGTTGAAGGCCCCTTCTTGACAGAGCAGGAACTTGAAGTAGGAGAGTCACATCAAACCATCAGATTCCTCAAAAGGAAATTCAGCTATCACAATCATGAGCTTCACATCACGAGTGACCCGAAGTATCTTGTGAAACTCAAGGAAGAACTGAAGTTGACGAGTAAAGCCTCGAAGCCAACTCCGTGCACCCAAGAGTCTCAGGAAGCTGACAACACCCAAAGCTTGAACCAGGAACAAGCAGCATCGTTCAGGAAATGCGTTGGCATACTCTTGTATGTCAGTCAGGATCGCCCTGACGTGCAGTTTGCCGTAAGAGGTTTAGCCTCCAAGATGTCGGAACCTACGCATGGTTCTTGGAAACACCTAGTCCATCTTGTGCAGTATATGGCAAGAACTGAAGGATATCATCTTGTGTACAGGAAAACACCAAGAGGACTCAGCAACCTTCATGAATCCATTAGGAACGGCAGTTACGACTTTACAGGAACACAGCCCAGGGAGTATCATCTTTTGGAAGTCTACAGCGACTCAGATTGGGCAGGAAAGAAGGACACTAGGCGCTCAACATCTTCAGGAATTGTTTGCTTAGATGGCCAGTGTATCTACTCTTTTTCAAGGAACCAAAAGTCAGTCAGCTTGAGCAGTGGTGAAGCAGAGTACTACGCAGGAGCTAGCGCGGCATCGGATTCTATATTGTTGAAGGAAGCAGTAGAATTCTTGACAAGGAAAATCTGCAAGGTACACTTGTACATGGACTCTTCAGCAGCTAGAGGAATCATTACAAGGCAAGGTGTAGGAAGAGTGAAGCACCTCCAAATCAGGACCCTTTTTCTACAGGACCTCCACAAGCAAGGAACAATCAGCGTGCACCCTGTAGGAACCAAGGAGAACACAGCCGACATAGGAACAAAGCCCCTTTCAGCGAAGCGCATTAGATTGCTGTTGCATTGGTTAGGTTTTCAAACTGGAGAGAACGAACCAGTAGGCCGAGAAGAGCTCAAGGAACACAAGGCCCAAACACAAGCCAAAGCAGTTGTAAGGATGATTAAGAGCCCAGGAACTTTGTCGTTTGCAGCTTTGTTGTTTGCAGGTATTTCAGGAATTTCAGACAGTCTTCAGATTCAGAGTTGCAAGGAACAGAGTTTTGAGAGTTGTTTTCTTCAGGAAGAGTTTCAGCCAGAGTTTCAGGAACATGTTTTCTGTTTTGCAAGTGCATGTGCACAGGACGGCATATGCAGTGACACGAGTGCATGTGAGCTAGGAAAGTCTGCAGGAACAGCGCATGAAACCTCATGTTTTGAGATGCTTTCACAGCTCAAGGAATTCTGCGGAACACTCGCGGAACGCTCAGGCGTACAAGGAATAGTCAAGCCAGTAGCAGAAGGTCAAGGAACCTCAGCCATGGAAGCCAGCGCCAGTTCTGCACGAAGTAACAGTGAAGTTCTCAAGGAACTTGAAGCACTGAAGGAAGCCGCCACAGAACTCAGGAAAGCCAGCGCAGAGAGGAACGAGATCGCAGAGTCGATCAGGAAGAACACAGAAGAGTCGGCGCGATTGCGTCGATCCCAGGAACACGTGGCTGGTTGCGTGAAGTCCTTGACAGGACAAATCCAGGACGTCAAGTTTCAGGTTCAGGAAATGGCCGAGCAGAACGAAAGAGACCGCACAGAGGCCAAGGAACGCATGGCCTACGTCTTTGAGAGGTGCGACGGCTTGAAAGACCAGGTACAGGCGCTTGTGAACGACTTCTACGAGCAGGAAGAAGAGGACGAAGAAGAACAAAAGGAAAGAGAAGCCAAGGACAGAGAACACAAAGGAGAAGACGACATAAGGAACTGGTCAGACAGAGGTTACTTTGAAAGACTCCAGGAACGCGACGAGGACCACGACTATACTTCGGCGAGAACGAGAACGAGACCTACGTGGACAGCTACGTTGGAGGAGATCCCGGGGAGTACCCTGAAGGAGCAAAGGAAGCAGAAGCACCAGAAGCAGCAGCAGCAGAAGAGGAAGACGAGGAAGCAAAGGAAGAAGCAAGGAGACAAAAGATCAAGGAGATCAACGCCAAGAGCAAGGAAAGGCTTGAGGAGAAAGAGAAGGAAAAGAAACTCTTTCCGTACCCCTACGACTACAGCAACGAGTGGAAGGAATACTCCGAGAACGGCGAGATCTACCGAGAGCACAGAGTTACAGGAGAAAAGCAGTGGGTCGACAAGGACTACACGTACAAGCACGAGAAAGGAACAAAAGGAAAGGAGAAAGGCGCAAAAGCAGGCAAAGGAAGAGGAAAGCCAAAGCAGCGAGCAGAAAGCACAGGATTTCGACCTCGAGATGAAGAAGATCGCAAGTACTGGGCAGAACAGGACAGGATTTCAAAGGAACAGCAAGAGGCAAAAGCGGCAGCAGAAGAAAAGAAGAAGGCAACAGAGGAGCAGATTGCCAAGGCAAGGCTGATCATGGAAGCGGCAGCAGAAGAGCAGGAGAGAAGAGACAAGGAAGCAGCAAGGCAGGAAGCAGCCGCAGCCGCCGAGAGAAGGCGAGAAGTGGAAGCAGCAGCCAAAGCCAAAGCAGAAAGAGAGGAAAGAGAAAAGGAGGAGACAGCCGCAGCAACAGCCAAAGCAGAGAAAGAGAAAGAAGAGGAAGCAGCCGCAGCAGCCAGAGAGGAGAAGGAAAGAAAGGAACAGGAGAAGAAGAGAAAGGAGAAGGAAGCCAGGAAGAAAAGAGAGGAAGACAAGAAGGAAGCATCGGCATACATTGCCCGAAAGGAAGCAGAAAAGAAGGCAGCAGCAGAAGGAACAACGTCAGGATCAGGAGAAGTGGAACCGAGACGTGAAGAAGACAGGATGAAGAAGCTGGAACAGATGATGGAGGAGATGATGAAGGAACGCAAGGAAGACAAGGAAAGGATTGCAAGCCTCACACAGGAGCTTGAGAGCAGAGGATCAGCAGCCGGGTCGCAGGCACCCACAGAGCCAGACACAACACCAACAAAGGAGCAGGAAAAGCCGGAAGGAAGAGGAGAAGGAAAAGGAAAAGGAAAGAAAGAAGGACAGGAGCCACCAAGCGTGACAAAGCACAAGCCAGGAAAGCAGGAACAGGAAGACGAGGAACTTTCCGCCAAAGGACCAGTGAACGAGGCGTCTTACTTGAAAGGAAAAGGAAAAGGAGAGTTTGAAGGAAACTGGTTTGCAGTCTACAGTTTCCAAGGAAGAAGCTACCAGTGGAAGTGGAACGAAGCCCGAGGACAATGGTACTGGTACTCAGGATCAAAGGAAACAGGTTGGAAAGCAGGAGGAAAGGACAAGCAAGGAAAAGAGAAGTGCAAGGCACAGGCAAGGCAGCGTGAGGAGTGGCTCAAGGAACAGCTAGAGGAGCAGAAAGAAGTCACCCACGACAGCGAAGAAGAAGCAGGAAGCAAAGAAGTGAACTTCCAGTGAAGCAAAGGAACAGCGAAGAGTACTGAGGCCAGAGAGCCGAGGAAAGAGCAGTGAAGCAGGACACAGGAACCGTGGCACAGCCCTTTTTGTTTCTGTGGTGATCTAAGTAAGTTCAGGAACAGTCTTGTACAGTCAAGCAACCTTGGAGAGGATTGCGAGTGAACGGAAACGTTTGCGAAGAGGAACAGCGTTTGTTTTGTAGTGAAAAGGAACTGCAGCGTGTTTACTGTTTGTTCAGGAAAGTCGGAGTCACCTCAGTCGAGGAACTTTCGCTAACTCCGAAGGCGGGGTGTTAAACATCTTGCCAGGAACAGTAACACCGCTAGTGCAGTGTAGTTAATGTAAAGGAACAGCCGTTTCGCACACGCGACGTGCAGGCTCGAGACTACCAGGACACACTCCGCAGTCCAGGAAAAGTGTCCGCCTTTGTGAGAGTGTAGGAAAGCTTAGTGAAGCCCGTTCTTTAACATTCTGATGGACCTTCGCAAGTCTAGATGGGTGCTGGGATGTTGGGCGAAGTTGAACAAACTGAAAGCGCTCGGTTTCGCTGATCTCATGAAGCCACGTCGCGCCCAAGGGTCTTCAGCATAT